CGTGTCTGCGCGTTCGTGTGTGTTGGAGGAGGGGCTCAGTAAGGAAGTGGCAGATTTTTTCCGGCTGTGTATTTTCAAATTCTAGCGCACTCGAGCTGGTTTCTCCAAAATTACCTACCCCACCTTTAAGTTACAGGTCATTTTCTGACAGTAAATACGATAAAAATGTATTTCAGGGGAATGGATACTATTCTAATTTGACTGAAACGTGACACGTGACCAACGACATTACTGAAAATAACAGATTCTGCCGCTGTTCTTGCCCTTTTCTCACCTGCTGTGTTTAGTGTACCCATGTACTTTGTTCCTACAACATCGGGTCATACACTCATACTGTTACTGAAACACACTTTGAAACCGTGAGTGAAGGTGACTGTGCGGGGAATCACTCTCCCGCCTCCTACAGTTCATAGGCATCGCTTCTCGGCCTTTTGGCTAAGATCAAGTGTAGTATCTGTTCTTATCAGTTTAATATCTGATACGTCCCCTACCCGGGGACCATATATTAAATTGATTTTTGGAATAGGGAGATGGAATAGGGGCTTGCTCCGTCCACTCCACGCATCGACCTGGTATTGCAGTACCTCCAGGAACGGTGCACCCCCTCTCATTGTAAAAGACAAAATAATGGTCTCTTAACCAATAAAAGAAGATAGGTAAATTTGAACGCAACAACATTTAGGGTTGTTAGGCTTCATGACGCTTGAAACTTTACAAATAATTGATGTAGAAGAGTTACACGTGAAAACCTTTATATTAGGGCTGTCAGTCGATTAAAATATGTAATCGCGATTAATCGCATGATTGTCCATAGTTAATCGCAAATTAATCGCACATTTTTTATCTGTTCTAAATGTACCTTAGAGGGATATTTTTCAAGTTTTTAATACGCTTATCAACATATGAGTGGACAAATATGCTTTATATGTTTGTTTATTCTCATGAATATTAAACACAACAACCTCTGAACATTACAAATATTCGCCTCAATTCAACCTGGAACCTCTCTCATACAATAATAGTGAGTGTGTGTGTGTGTGTGTGTGTGTGTGTGTGTGTGTGTGTGTGTGTGTGTGTGTGTGTGTGTGTGTGTGTGTGTGTGTGTGTAGACACTGTGATGGATCGTTGGCGCTATGTGCCGCTCAAGGCATATATGCTCGAACGTGTGCTGCCTGGACGCTGCAATCATGTAGCGCGTACTATCCGTGCTGAGTGCGCTGACTTTTCGTACAATGTCCCACTGTCTGGCTACCTGCATCAAGTCAAGTGCTCGGCGCAGTTGTCGGCGAAATGTCATTGAAACAGTTCCTTATATCCGTTAGCGCAGCTAGCTAGCACCAGATGCTAACAACAACAACACGTAAGGTGTGCCTCGCTTGCGCGAGTCGCGCCACACATACACACTCCCTCCCGGTCCTCCCGATGGCCAGTCCGGGCCTGCCGGTGAGCGTGTGGTCTGCCACAAGCGGGCGGCAGGAGCGGGGCTGTCAGCATCAGCTTGTAGATGGTGTTTTAAACTCGATGCGCTCTGAAACTACGGGGCGGCGAGGACAAAAAATACACATGCGTTAATCGCGTTAAAATAATTAGTGGCGTTAATTTTTTTTTGCGTTAACGCGTTATTAACGCGTTAACTTGACAGCCCTACTTTATATATACAGTCTATGGTGAAAACCAGCAGTCAGCGTGCAGCATCGAACCACCTGGGCTGCGGTCGAATATTCGAATTGGTGGTCAATAACGTAACCAGATGAGTGATTACAGCGCCCGGTATCATTTTACACACATTTGTATCACACAGATGCAGGACTTGCACACGCCTGTTATCTAACCGACAGGTCCGCAGCACTCTCCAGCCGAAGCTCTCTCGTCTTATTAATTTAAGCATTTTCTTATTAATTTATGCAGACACACACCCCCCCCCCCCCCCCCCCCCCCCCAAATGCAATACCAGCCGCTCAATGCGCAGTGCAGATTCGGTAATGAATAAAAAATAAGCATTCATTCACAAAGTAAATCAGGAGACCTTTAAAGTTTTACGTTCACATCAAAGTATCAGTAGGCGTGTATGAAACACATGAATTCAAAAACAATTATGTACAGAAACATTTGCATGTGATAGTCCACCTTCTCTTCCCTTCCCTTTCTAACACACGGCAAGTGCAGCAACAGTCCTCGTCTCTGTAATTAGCTCAGTCCGTAGTCCAAAAGTAACTAAAAAATATAAACAATCTCATCTATTCAGGTGATCGATTGGATGGCAGTGTCCAATCAAATCGCCAGCCGCCAGCCGCCTCTGAAGGGAAGCCAGAGGCGGCTGGCTTCCCTTGGCATGGCCCTGGCCAATCACAGGTTGGCAGGGGCATCACGTGGGCCTCATCTGATTGGTCAATCCCTCCATTTTTTTTCACCAAGGGAAGCCCGATCCGACTGGCCTCCTCTCGCAACAGTGAATGCAATCTACTGTTTCACCATAACATCTAGAGGGGCGCTGTTTGTTTCACTCTTTGTAAAATACTCAATGAGAGTGGGGGAGAGACGGGCCGGCAGCAACACACAGCAAAGGAGAATTATCGAAACAAAACAAAGTGTTTTTATTTATTTATTTAAATTATAACTACAATCCGAAAAAACAGGGGAAGCCTGGCTTCCCTTGGCCTCCGGGAGAAAACGCCACTGGCCTTTACAAGCTTAAAAGTTGTATTTATCATCTGAATTTGGCAAAATAAGTTTAATATTCTAAAAACCAAGACTTTGTTTATTTGAAATCAGATGAAAACAAACTGTCACGGACCCTGCCGTGTTATCTATGATTACTTTACACTTTTCATTCATAATTTCAGCGGGAGGGAGGGGGAGCGGCGCTGAGGAACAGCAGAGTGCGGGTTGACAGGTGTCTGTGTTGACATTCCCCTTATTGTGCATCAGCAGAGACAGGCTACAAGTGTCTTAGGTTCAAGTTAGACAACTAATGTCTGGGTTAGTGTTCATGACTTCATGTTTATGTCATCTTAATGGTTAATCTTAATGCACACACATTTTCCGTGATTTCCAATAGTTTAAAATAGTTTTATTCCACTGTTAAAGGTGGGGTAGGTAAGTTTGAGAAACCGGCTCGAGATACACTTTTTGTTATATTCCATGGAATGCTCTTAACATCCCGATAGCAATGAATATCTTAAGTGCTTTGACAAAAAATCCATAAAAAAATGTCATCTGTGGAAGCCGTAATACTGTAAAAAGTACGACCAATCATTTTAGGCCCGATGTTCCAAGGTGATAAAATAACTGGATGGCCTACCTGCCTGTCAGCCTTCCATCTGTGCACAAACGTATCTCGTGCCCTCATTGGTCATGTGCGCGTTCGTGTGTGTTGGAGGAGGGGCTCTATAAGGAAGTGGCAGATTTTCTCCGGTTGTGTATTTTCAAATTCTAGCGATCTCGAGCCGGTTTCTCAAATTTACCTACCCCGCCTTTAAATAACCTGTTCAATACAAACATGCCACCTGTAAAAATTAAATAACATTTCTGTGAACTGATATTTGTTTAGTGAGCTTATTAGAGGATGTTCCCTGAAAATAGTACAATGTCAATGAAGATGTCAGACTTAATTTGTTAATAATTACATACAATACATGGAATGTGTGTGTGTGTTCCAAGTGAATTTGCGGCCTCCTGGTGGCCAGTACATATATTATGTGGCCCCCACCACCATCCAAGTTGCCCATCCCTGGTCTAGATTAGAAGATGATGAGGAAAGGAGGTTTCAAACTTCCTTTATAACCTCCTTTAGCTTACGAAACACTGGACCTTCCTTTCATGGATGTATAGCTTCCTTTACGAAAGAAAAGGAGAAAATGCTGCCCCACAATGCCTTGCGGCCGCAGTATTTGCCGTCACAGAACAGTCGGCCGTTCACGGAAACAACCGATTATGACAGAGAAATGATATCATGAAAGTTACGGTGCTTATTAAGCATTTTAAAACGTAGCTATGTGGTAACTGCTTTGAACGTTAATCAGTATTATAATCAAAAAGAGAAATATGAACGTTAGTTTTTACTGAAATGATCAAATAAAGTCTCACAGTGTTTACTGAGCTGTGTGGGGTTTGTTCAACTTTTAAAATATGTTTGAATGGTGATATACACAGTGATAGATGTTATGGACTAACGTTTATAATAAATACATTTGCATTTATTTTAAGATCTTTTCATACAATAATACGTTTTGGGATCATTTGTATTAATGCGGACCGGAGGGAGAGGGAGAGGGTGACGACTGGCCATACTACATCAATCAGGAGAAACGGTTTTGATGGAAGAATACATATTTATTGCTAGGAATGCACAAATGAATGTAATGGAGTTTTGGCGATTAGGCCCCATTGTGCAGGAGTATCATTCGGGAGGGGAGAACCGATCCGATGAAACCCCCCGGGGTCTAGACACTGGTGGTGGTGAATGGATAGTTGGGTTCGGTCTGAAGGGGAGTGGCTTAGCTTGACCCTGGTGGTGGTGAATGGATAGTTGGGGTTGGTCTGAAGGGGAGGGGCTTAGCTTGACCCTGGACTCAGAGGGACAGGAGGGGAAAAGGGGTGGAGGAGGGTTGCGTTGAGTCACCTGAAATGACAGCTGTCAGAGGGGAGAGCAGATTTAAAAGGGTTAGAGCGCTATGATAGGCTTGTGAGAATAGAGCAAAGTGATTGGTTAAGCTGGGGAGTGACGCCCCCGATCACTGATTGAGAGGAGAGAGAGTAGTAACATGGAAATAGTAAATGAATGAGTAATGACGGTCTTCCTGGTTGAACTTGCGCTGAGCTTCATTTATTTTGCCAACATTTATTTGTATCACTTTTTTTTTTTTTTTTCAAACATACTATACTATGATTTCTTTCATATTTATAAGAAATATTCTATAAAATATTCTGAAACTAGCCATTAAGTATAACAAGTACTTTGACTTTCAGTTCTTTAAGAAATAAAAAGAAACTCAACTCCACATATTTCACATTTTATTGATTCCATTCTCCAGACTTTTCCATAAAAACAAAATCACTCGGCTTGTAAGGCATGCATGAATACATATATACATGTTTTATATACTTTTGAGCTCCACATGTGTTTAACAGCAGCTCTTTTAGATCAGTTTACAGTTCATATACTCAGTTTAAGTGCTGCACATTCATCGCTCCGTTAACTAAAATCACATTTGCTACACACCAGGTCCCAACGTTTCAAAACTGGCCAGAAAAAAAAGAATCCTTCATTTACTTTTTGCAGAGTTTTTGGAGCAAGCATATTTTCTTTTACAGTAAATTGAGATCCACGCTTATGAAAACACATACAAAAGTAAACAGATGTATACCTAAGAGAAGAAACGAACTGTGTTGTTATCAAACATCCAGTAAAAACCCTCTGAAACGGATGTAAAATGCACCCATTAAATCTGTAAAGAAGTGGAATTCTGCGTGCAGTTTGGTGTTTAAATATCCGATAATATGAACTCTCCTTCGAGCACCAGAGAATATTCAATGTGAGGAAGAAGACCCTGTGAAAAGGAACATGTGCCTCTTTATAAGCGGCACTTTCTCCAGGCCCAGGTGCACATGCAGAAGACTGATATCAGACAGAGAGGTGCATTGTGGGTATGAATAAACAGAGACTTCTCAGAGGCAAATACAAAGTAAAATGGCTGAATGTGTAAGGCAGAGTTTCTTCAGGAGAGCAGACCCTGAGGGGAGCAAAAAAGGGACAATTAGGTTCATGATTTGGGGTGAAAATGCAGATTTTTAGTGCGTTATCGTCACAAATTACACAAGAGATGTTTACCTGTTAGGTCAGCTGCTGAATGAGATCTTTCTCTGGATCATGTTTATCATCCAGCTCCTCGTCAGAGTCTGAAAACAGAAGAGAAACGCATCGGTGTGAAGAGAAACACCAAAAAATCACAACTCTAATTTTACTTAAAGGGGACCTATCATGCAAAATGCACTTTTGTACGTCTTTTCTACATGAATATGTGTCCCCGGTGTTCCAGGGAACTCACCAAGTGTCAGAAAACACAACCCTCTCTATTTTCCTCCATACCCAAATCTCTAAAAAAGGGGCTGCAACGGATCTGATAAAAACTGATCCAGATTTGAACACTGTCCTGACGTCAGGACAGTGGCGCTACGGCTATTGGGGCCAACTCCACCAATCAGGAGGAGACAGCCACGGCCATTGCCGTTCGAAAGCGCTGGAGACGCTGTAGTACATATGCCAGGCCTGTAGGTGGTGCTGTTCTCACAGAATCTGCCCTTGCAAAAACAGAGCTAAAAAATGTCAAATAGAGCAAAATGAGGCATGGCTAAAATGCATGATCTGTTTGGTATTTTGAAAAAAAAAAAGTATAAATATGCCTTATATAGGTATGGTCCTACACTATATTATTATAATATAGCATGATAGGTCCACTTTAATTTAACTTCTGATTGTTTGTATAAATATCTTTATTTAAATGTGTTTTATGATTTAATTGCACATTTGAACTTAAACTTCATGCCGATATTTTAATATAAATAACTGTATTCTATTTAATCATTTTTAAATTGTATTTCTTTATCTTTTATTTTATTTAAATAACTGTCACGAAACCCAATTTTCTCCGGGATAAATAATTATTCTGAAGTTGGTGTTCCTGCCACTAGGGGGCTCTATTAACAAACCAATAACAGAGATGATTGAGGTACAGAGTGAGAACTATAAAAGTTATTAAACTGACAGGAGACAGGTGATGAGTTTGAGGTGTGTTCGTGGTGCGTTCACTGACCTGCCACAGACTCCGGTGGAGAGTAGAACTGACCGTCAGATAACGGGCCTGGACCCATGAGAGGAGCTCGCTCTGCGTCCATGAGGGACTGAAACCCTGAGACACAGAGAGGAACGAAGACAAACACACGTTTATATGTAAGCAGCGAAGGACACAAGATCGAATTATGACATGAGGCAGTTGAATACTTGATTCTGATTGGTCAAGTTGGACATTCAGTGGTCTTTTATACAACAATATAAGACTGCTGCTTTGGGCACTTTGATCGAGGAACTATGTGAAGTCATATCAATACGCAAAAAGAAGTCAATTTAACGTCAGCTGTGGACGACAAACATTAGTTTCCCTTTTAAATATACGTTTTTATATTCGTGATGGCTGACATTTCCTCAGTAAAGAAAAGACAAAGAGAACAAGAGAAGGGAAAAGGTACGTGAGAGAAATCTACAGAAGAAGACAGAAAGGAAGTAAACACTAACGGGAACACAATGGGCTCTCGATTTCCCCCAAAGGTTAAACAAAAGTATTCTAAAAAGAGACACTTGAGATACACGGTCTAAATAAACCTTGATCATATCACTGTATAACTGAATATCTGTGACTCACGGTTGAGCTCCTCGTTCTCCTGCGGCAGAACCTTGAAGTCCAGCAGCCAGGTTTCTATCCAGGCCAACACGAAGGAGATGATGGGCAGCAGGTACCCGAAAGCACCCTGAGACAGAAGCTGCAAGGCAAGTTTATTTATAAAGTACCTTTCAACACAAAGCAATTCAAAGTGCTTTACAAAAAACTTTAAAGGTCCCCTATTATACTGTTTTTCATCAATGTATCACAGGTCTCAGATATATACAGAACCTGTCTCTGATTGGCTGAAACACCAAACAGATCATTGCAGCATTACCCATAATCCCCTCTGTTTCAGCCCTGTTTCCAAAGTGCTGATTCTCTGTCTATTACTTTAGATGAAAACCTTGGTTGCTGATTGGCTAATGGTTACACAAGACAAAACATCGTTATGACATCATAAAGTGGCCAAAATCTCATCAGCTCATTTTCAGACAGGTTTTTATATAATGGATCAGGACAAAAAGAGAGAATCTTTGTTCCTGAAACTTTCAGAGTCTCTTTACACAGAGGGGACACATGTTGATGTAGAAGAGACATGAAGAAGGGGGGACACATGTTGATGTAGAAGAGACATGAAGAAGAGGGGACACATGTTGATGAAGAAGAGACATGAAGAAGAGGGGACACATGTTGATGTAGAAGAGACATGAAGAAGAGGGGACACATGTTGATGTAGAAGAGACATGAAGAAGAGGGGACACATGTTGATGTAGAAGAGACATGAAGAAGAGGGGACACATGTTGATGTAGAAGAGACATGGAGAAGAGGGGACACATGTTGATGTAGAAGAGGGGACACATGTTGATGTAGAAGAGACATGGAGAAGAGGGGACACATGTTGATGAAGAAGAGACATGAAGAAGAGGGGACACATGTTGATGTAGAAGAGACATGAAGAAGAGGGGACACATGTTGATGTAGAAGAGACATGAAGAAGAGGGGACACATGTTGATGTAGAAGAGACATGAAGAAGAGGGGACACATGTTGATGTAGAAGAGACATGAAGAAGAGGGGACACATGTTGATGTAGAAGAGACATGAAGAAGAGGGGACACATGTTGATGTAGAAGAGACATGAAGAAGAGGGGACACATGGTGATGTAGAAGAGACATGAAGAAGGGGGGGACACATGTTGATGTAGAAGAGACATGAAGAAGAGGGGACACATGTTGATGAAGAAGAGACATGAAGAAGAGGGGACACATGTTGATTTAGAAGAGACATGAAGAAGAGGGGACACATGTTGATGTAGAAGAGACATGAAGAAGAGGGGACACATGTTGATGTAGAAAAGACATGAAGAAGAGGGGACACATGTTGATGTAGACACATGTTGATGTAGAAGAGACATGGAGAAGAGGGGACACATGTTGATGTAGAAGAGACATGAAGAAGAGGGGACACATGTTGATGTAGAAGAGACATGAAGAAGAGGGGACACATGTTGATGTAGAAGAGACATGAAGAAGAGGGGACACATGTTGATGTAGAAGAGACATGAAGAAGAGGGGACACATGTTGATGTAGAAGAGACATGGAGAAGAGGGGACACATGTTTGATGTAGAAGAGACATGAAGAAGAGGGGACACATGTTGATGTAGAAGAGACATGAAGAAGAGGGGACACATGTTGATGTAGAAGAGACATGAAGAAGAGGGGACACATGTTGATGTAGAAGAGACATGAAGAAGAGGGGACACATGTTGATGTAGAAGAGACATGAAGAAGAGGGGACACATGTTGATGTAGAAGAGACATGGAAGAAGAGGGACACATGTTGATGTAGAAGAGACATGAAGAAGAGGGGACACATGTTGATGTAGAAAAGACATGAAGAAGAGGGGACACATGTTGATGTAGAAGAGACATGGAGAAGAGGGGACACGTGTTGATGTAGAAGAGACATGAAGAAGAGGGGACACATGTTGATGTAGAAGAGACATGAAGAAGAGGGGACACATGTTGATGTAGAAGAGACATGAGAAGAGGGGACACATGTTGATGTAGAAGAGACATGAAGAAGAGGGGACACATGTTGATGTAGAAGAGACATGAAGAAGAGGGGACACATGTTGATGTAGAAGAGACATGGAGAAGAGGGGACACGTGTTGATGTAGAAGAGACATGAAGAAGAGGGGACACATGTTGATGTAGAAGAGACACGGAGAAGAGGGGACACGTGTTGATGTAGAAGAGACATGAAGAAGAGGGGACACATGTTGATGTAGAAGAGACATGAAGAAGAGGGGACACATGTTGATGTAGAAGAGACATGAAGAAGAGGGGACACATGTTGATGTAGAAAGAGAACATGAATAAGAAGAGGGGACACATGTTGATGTAGAAGAGACATGGAGAAGAGGGGACACGTGTTGATGTAGAAGAGACATGAAGAAGAGGGGACACATGTTGATGTAGAAGAGACATGAAGAAGAGGGGACACATGTTGATGTAGAAGAGACATGAAGAAGAGGGGACACATGTTGATGTAGAAGAGACATGGAGAAGAGGGGACACGTGTTGATGTAGAAGACATGAAATAGTGGATTTTGCATAATAGGTGAGCTTTAAGAAATAGTGCAGCAGGAACCCGTTATAAAGGGGCGTTTAAAAAGCAAAGATAATGAAAGAAACCCAATTCCCAGATTTATGATATTCAAACTTAAGACTTTGCTGTAAGAGTATTTATCAAATATAAGGAAAGAGATAATAAAAAAAGGGGGTACGAAACGACGGAGAAAACTACAGAAAACACTCTCATTTTAAAACCATGTTTAATATTCAAATCTATAAAAAGGTAAATAATTATCTAGCTAATAAAGAAGTGTAACATTAATAGAGAAAAAGTTATTCTGATGATGAGCAGCAGGTGGAGTAATGAGAGAATAAAAACCACATTCATATAGAAAAAATGGATGTAAAAACTGAACAGATAAATGAATCCTTAGACTCGTACCTTTGATAAAATGACTTTAACAATCAGGAAAGCACAGCTGACTGCAGTGGTGATCTGAGAGAGAGAGAGAGGAGACATTACAGGGTTCATTATTACAGGTTTTCATACGAATACGTCACAAATCAATGAATCAGAACATTTGAATCTAAGCCAATAGAAAGCACTGTGGTGTTTAACTCAACAGCGCCCTCTGCTGGCAGAAATATAGAACTACATAATATCATCGAATAACATCTCACCGCGATGGCCCACCAGTGACGGAGCCGGCAGACGGCGTACGCCAAGATGAGGAACGCAAACCTGAAGACTGCCAGGACCTGAGGAGGAAGAGGAGGAGGAAGAGGAAGAGGAAGAGGAGAAAGGAGGAAGGAAGCATTTAGGAAAGAAGGATTAAAAGGCCACAAAGACAGGAGGATGAATAAGGGATGAAAAAAAGGGATCAAGTCAAATACCAATTGAGCAACCTAAAGTACTAAATAGATACACATAAGATCCACACAAGCATATTATGTTCATACAACTATTCACACAGAAACGCATGAGCTTTTTCAACACTTTCTGTATTTTTTAAATGTATTAATGACTCTATAAATGACTGATTTTCTTTTAACATATTCCTCCGTGCCCATAGCTGGACTTTTCTCTGGTCACATTTGGGCATCTATAAAAAGACACCATGCTTTTCTTTATACACACAAACAACACTACAAACAAACAAGAACAGCTAAAAATCTGCATTTTATTCAAATCAATATGTCTTGAGTTACGTTTTGCACATTTGGTTGGTCTATTTATTTGTAAGCAAGTCACATTGAGAATATTATGTCTAAAAGAAAGGTAAGAACTCACAAAGATGTCGAAGAAGGAGGCGTGGTAGTCGTAGTGCAGAACTTCTCTTTCCAGCTGCGACTGAATCCCGCCGTTTACCTGCAAACACAAAGTTCAAATGTTAGTCTGTTTAAAATGTGTTCTCTTGCACTACTTTGAAGTTATTCCTCCTTTTATAAGAAATATTTGAGGCTGAAAAATCACTAAATCTCCAAAACTGGGCTTCTTTGCAGCTCCATGAAGTAACGGTACGTCCACACGGCAGCGTTGCGTGCTTCAACGGAGACGCTTCCCATTCTCTTTGAATGTAATGTAATGTAATGTATGTAATGTATGTAATGGTCGCGCACCAGACACGCCCACCGGCAAGCTTCAACGCGAAGGAGCCGTGTGAACGTTCCGTAACCGTCACTCTTTATGTTTGGGCCGTAAAGTGGATTTACATGAGGATTAATACATGATGAATATATCATTAAAATTATTTATATAAAACTTGTTTTTTGTGTGTTTAAGTTCTGAAAACACTGCGTATTTTTGAATATAAAAGACAATCTTTATATTATGTTAGTAGCTTTGTTGCCGTGCTGTGAGAGCAGAGTGCGTCCTTTACTCTGTGTTTCATTTTGACCCGCGGTGACTCACCTTTTTAGACCAGCTTTTAACGTGTGATTGATGACATGTCCTTTTGACAAATGTGGTTTTATTGCTCGATTTTAATTAGACTTATCTTCCCTCTGTAAAGCGTCTTTGAGCACTTGATGAAGCTACATTATTCCCTTTGATTTCTGCCACGAATAATTACAAAACGATAAAGGTTTGAATAAGAAATAAACATAAAAATGAATGGCACTACTTAAAGGGGTAAATATAATGAATGTAGTGACCAAAGCTGCAACCAATGATTATCTTTGAATGATCCATAGTAGTGTTTGTCAAGAAAATGCCATTAAAAAATGTAAATGTATTATTATTATTATGCCTTTACTTGCTCGATCATTTCATTCTCTGCATGTATTTAAATGTGTTAAAAGCACTTTGTAGCTCCGTTTGAAAGGTGCTATATAATTAAAGTGTATTATTATTATTATTGATTCCAAAGAAGGGAACTACCTCTGCCGTAAAACACTAAAGGAAACTTTTAAATGCCAAAGAGATGTACAAAATAAATGTGAGAATTTAAAAACAATGACGTAAGAGTTAATAATAAAGTCCTGGGTTGCAGTCGAATAGTCCAAAAATCAGCTCCTAACGTCTATCCCTATCGTCTAACCCTTGACCTCTGAGTGAAACGTCACGGGGTTAAGGGATAGTGGATAGGAGAATTCAAAAGGACTTAGGAGAAGAGACTGCGGTGCTTTAGAGAATCCGTCATAAATGTGCGCCTGCTGCTGTGGGGAAACTATGGAAACTACAGTTTTCTATACAGCGGACTACAACATGGATGTTTAATAAGAACGAGGGACTACTGTAAACTCATCTAGAGACTCTGCACCGTGCTCTGATGCTGTTGTTTTATGCTTTATGAACGTGGACAACAGAGAAACATATTCTTCATGACCAAAGTTGGAATTGAAATAAAAAGGAAAGTGAAACTTATGCTCGTCACCCTCTCCCTCCGGTCCACATTAATACAAATGATATCAATACGTATGATTGTATGAAAAGATCTTAAAATCAATACAAATGTATTTATTCTAAACGTTAGTCCTTAACATCTATCACTGTGTATATCACCATTCAAACATCTTTTAAAAGTTGAACAAACCCCACACAGCTCAGTAAAGACTGTGACATGTTGACTTTATTTGATCATTTCAGTAAAAACTAACGTTCATATTTCTCTTTTTGATTATAATACTGATGAACGTTCAAAACAAAGCACTTTGGCAAGTTACCACATACGTTTTAAAATGCTTAATAAGCACCGTAACTTTCATGATATCATTTCTCGGTCATAATCGGTTGTTTCCGTGAACGGCCGACTGTTGTGTGACGGCAAATGCTGCGGCTGCAAGGCATTGTGGGGCAGCATTTTCTCCTCTCCTTTCGGTTAGGGAGGTCCAGTGGTTCCTAAGCTAAAGGAGGTTATAAAGGAAGTTTGAAACCTCCTTTCCTTTCATCTAGAGAATTGGAACGGCTCTTATCATGGCTGCCACTGAGGGACTTCCGGGTCATTTCACTCCGTTAGGAAGGTTCCTAAGCTAAATGGACTTTTCGGCCGTAACCCTAGTCAGACTGGATCTACTTTATTGAGCTGAAGTGTTATCGTCACAATGAGAGGAATGAGGTTTTTAACAGGAAGTGCAGCTCATTACTGAAACTGTTTTATTACTGAAGCCTGACCTGGGCTAATCTTTCACTTCAGTTTAAATCTAAACTGCAACTAACTATTATCCTTATTAGTGATTAAATTAACATTATTTTAAAGATGTAATGTACTGTTACTATTCTATTTAATGTAAAAAGTACATAAAGTAAGAGGAAAATATCAGAAATAGTACCGTACGGATTACCATAACATCTAGTAAGACCACAATTACAAATAATCTTAATTATTGATTAAATTAACATTATTTTTTAATGATTTAATGTTCTGGTTATACCAAGACGTGTAAAAGGTTAGTGAGAAATATACCTTAAAGTACATACACTTATAATAATAAATACAACTAATAATATATACTGTCAGATGGATTATAACAACCTTTTATGATGTATAACAACTGTAATATATAATATATGTTTTTTCAGTTTTATTGTTTATCCATTTCCAAAGTGACAGGAAGTGCTTGTGCACACATCTGAGTTCCTGTCCAACAGGTTCAGTTAGAAATGAGAACCTGAGAGACTGCTGCCAAACAAACACAACAGGTGTGTGTGTGTGTGTGTGTGTGTGTGTGTATGTGTGTGTGTGTGTGAAATCTCTTCCTCCTTCAGGACACTACGGTTCACTTGTGCACACAGTTCAACATCAACCAGGATATCGGATGGAGGGTTATTAAGCAGAGGTGGGGACTCGAGTCACATGACTTGACTCGAGTCAGACTCGAGTCGCATATTTTTTGACTTGAGACTTGCTTGACTAACATTGATAAAAGACTTGACTTGACTTTGACTTGGTATTCATGACTTGAGACTTGACTTAAGCTTGAGACAGATGACTTGAAAGGACTTGTCTGTTTAAAATTAAATATTTGCGTTTGTTTTTGTAGTGAGATATTACGTTTAGTTTTTTCGAAAAACGTGATTGAGTGATTATAGCGCCGTGCGCGCAAACCTGGCAACCCACTAGACGGCAGGAGCGTCAGTTAACAACAGCGGCTAGCGTTACTCCACAAATAGTGAAGTTTGGATTCAAGGATTATGTTGTCGATGACGCTAATAAGAAGAGAACAGCGGTATGCAGGGTCTGCAGCATAAAGATCAGTGACACGACCACCACAACATCCAACTTCATTCGTCACTACAAAAAAACCCACAGAGAAAGGTGCGTGAATGTGTTGTGTTAGCTAGAAAGCTAACGTTAAGTTTAAGCTACGTTAGACTTGGTTTCAAATCGATTAAGCATTACAAAGAGAAGACAAAACGGTAAATGAACACTAGAACCGCCAAGGGATTCATTTGTATTAACCCCGATACTGACGGGCCATCAGGAGAGAGAGAGAGAGAGAGAGAGAGAGAGAGAGAGAGAGAGAGAGAGAGAGAGAGAGAGAGAGAGGGAAAGAGATGCCTCGTTTATTTCCCCTGTGTTATTATCAGAAGTTACTGTAAACTGTTGAATCATGTAGTTCATCTACTTTTAGTAGTTTGTTTAAATGTTTTAATGATGTTGTTTTTGTTTGTAGAAGTGCATCATTCCTTGATTTATTGTAAAATGAATCTGAACTTTTTGATCTGTTATGATGATAAACTGAAGCAATTTCTAAATTAACCCAATTAACTGAGTTTTAAATCGTCCTACTTAGTTTATAAGGAAATGATGAAGAGGAACAAATTAAATGATTTGAAAATGATATCTATGTAGATGCTGACGCTGTTGGCGGTTCTAGTGTCAACATACATTTAAATTAAATATGTGTAATGGCAAATGCCATATATGATTTTCTTACCTGGAATTCTGCCTTTTTGAACAGACTGTTTGATTGAGTCCTAGCTATATTGTCTGCAGTTCTAGGGTTAATATGAATCTAATATGATTGTCATCGGTCTAAATTAGATTTCAAATGATTAACTGTGTATGTAATGAAGATCATAGTGTGGGTTAAATCCATTTTCATAACCACTGTCTTTTAACTGATTTAAATGCGGAAACTGGGCTTATTCATCAGAATTTCGTATGACTTGACTTGACTTGCTTGACTCTCACCACAGTGACTTGGGACTTGCTTGATACTTGTAGGTCAAGACTTGAGACTTGCTCATGACTTGCCCATGAAGGACTTACTCCCACCTCTGTTATTAAGTATTGTGAGATCCCTGCAGATCATTTATTTACAGTGGGTTGCTTTATTGACTCTAATTATCTCATATTTGGTACAGATTTGATTTATTTGTTATATTTTATTATACTAAATGTATTTATTATTATCATTATTAGTAGTATTTAATAAGGCATATGTTTTTTTTATTATTATTATTATTATTATATGTAGTAGTAGTAGTGTAAGTAGTAGCAGTACTATTGGTTATGGAGTTCTTACATTGAGCTCTATGATCCAGAGCAGGGTGAATAGTAGTAGTAGTAGTAGTAGTAGTAGTAGTAGTAGTATTAGAAGCAGTAGTAGTAGTAGTAGTAGTAGTAGTAGTAGTAGTAGTAGTAGTAGTAGTAGTAGTAGTAGTATTAGAAGCAGTAGTATTAGTAGCACTAGTAGTATTTGTAGTATTTGTAGCATTGGTTCTGGTCTGCTTACATTGAGCTCTATGATCCAGAGCAGGGTGAATAGTAGGCCTAGTAGTAGTAGTAGTAGTAGTAGTAATAGTAGTAGTAGTATTGGTAGTATTGTTTATTAGTAGTAGTAGTAGTAGTAGTAGTAGTAGTAGTAGTAGTATTGGTAGTATTGTTCAGTAGTAGTATTGTTTCTGGAGTGCTTACATTGAGCTCTATGATCCAGAGCAGGGTGAATAGTAGGCCTAGTAGTAGTAGTAGTAGTAGTAGTAATAGTAGTAGTAGTATTGGTAGTATTGTTTATTAGTAGTAGTAGTAGTAGTAGTAGTAGTAGTAGTAGTAGTAGTATTGGTAGTATTGTTCAGTAGTAGTATTGTTTCTGGAGTGCTTACATTGAGCTCTATGATCCAGAGCAGGGTGAATAGTAGGCCTAGTAGTAGTAGTAGTAGAATTAACAGTAGTAGCAGTAGTAGTAGTATCTGTAGTATCTGTTCTGGAGTGCTTAAGTTGATCCAGAGCAGGGTGAGTAGCAGTATTAGTATTAGTAGTTGTAGTAGTATCAGTAGTAGTAGTAGTAGTAATAGTAGTAGTAGTTGTAGTAGTATTGATAGTATTGGTGTTCTTACATTGAGCTCTATGATCCAGAGCAGGGTGATGAAGAGGAGGTCGAAGGTGACGAAGAGGCAGAAGGTCCTCCTCACGTCGGAGATGCACTTCTTCTCTCCGGCCTCGAAGGACTCCATGCGGGTGGAGGTAGGGGTGCCGTTGATGGAGTAGCCCCCCCCTGCGCTGCTGCTGCACCTGCTGTCCATCACAGGTTAGAGGAGGAAGAGGAGGAGGAGGAGGGGCATCCGAGGAGGAAGAGGAGGGTCAGTGGAGGATGACTCTCTCTGAGGAGCTCACCTTCATCACTGCAGCTACAGGGAAGAAGAAGAAGGGAAATAATGGGGTTTACATTGTTTTTTTTTATTCTATTGAGTTTTTTCAGTGTTTTTTTATGAACATACTGTAGTAAGAATTCTTTCACAGTATTTTTGATATACATAATGCCACTTTTTTCATATTTATTTATTTCAAATACTAAGAATGTTTCATTGCATTTTTTGGAAATATATAATTGGACTTTTCTATATTATTTTTCAACATACTATAATAAGATTTTTTATAGTTATATTTTAAATGTACCTAATATGACATTTTCAACATAAAACATGACAACATTTTTGACATATATTGTAATTATTTACTATATTATTTAGGTTTGTTTGAATAATACCATGACCACATTATATTATAGTATGTCAAAAAATATTAAAATAGTTTCTCGTAGATATATATTGAAAAATATGGAAAAAGTAATATTGTAAAAATGACTATAAAAAAGTCATAGTATATATGTCAAAGATATTGTGACAAAATTAATATTATAGTATAGATTTTTTTCTTTCAGTAATAGTATATATGTCAAAAAGTATAATGAAAACATTCTTTTAAATAATAATGGGTAAAAAGTTACAATTCATGTCAAAGGTGTTGTGAAAAAATGTCAAAACTAGCCATTAGGCGCGTTCACACCGGAGTACTTTGGAGTACTTTTCCCACAATAGTTCAATAGAGACCAAAATCTTGCCAGGAAAATGTTGAATTAGTTAATAAATCAAGTGATAACAGGCTCGTGTTCTCAAAGACTTCTAGACAACCTGAGTTCTGCTGGAGAACAAAAGACACAGATGTTCTTGTGTTGTTTGTGACTGAAAACCAACCAAACAAACACATGTGATTGCGTTACTTCTTCTTTAGTTTCCTGACAGGATTATTATAAATCAGATTCGTCACATGACCCAGATAACACTGTCCGACCTTTGACCAAAACATCCAAAACACGTGTCTTTGTTTCAGGAAGGGAAACAGATTGTAACTCTTTTGCACTAACAGTAAGTCACTCTGACGGAGGGCAGCTTAAAAAAAAACAAGTGCTCTCCTGATTTTCACATTTCATACTCGAGTGCTTCTTCCCTAGCCTTCTTAAATCTGTTTTAGGAAGTGACTCTTAAAATCCTTTGCAAAGCCTCTGTGACCAAGCAGTTAATACATTACTTTGAACAGGGTGAATCTCCAGATTGAATAGCAGGTTATTCAAAACCAAAACACTGAAGAATCAAACTGCACTTTCCACATTATTTGTAAAAGTTATCTGAGGTTGATTGGACAGTGTCAATATGATCTAATGGTAAGAGTGTTTTTTTTATTATAGCACAAAAGGATGGTCAAATCATTTACTGTAATTTCCAATGAAACCACAACGACCAACCGATTCCTCTTTACATGCCTGAGGGTATTTTAAACCACACTAGCTTTTAAGTTTAACCTAATAAAGCTTAAATGTCACTGAGAAGAATAAGGACTTTTGACCAAGTGTTACAGTTAATTTACAGTGAGTGCAGTACAGAGTTTCTCATTTCAGGGTTGGTATGAGGAAGTTAAAAACCAATAAAGAAAAAATACAGTAGAGAAATGCCACACTAGATTTAAGGTAATATAGAAACAGTTTCGTCATTAGACACTGTCCTTTGTTCATCCCTATTGAGGCCATATTATGGGGCAGTATGAGAACAATACAGAGCTTTTTGAACATTAAAGCATGGAGTAGGGCTGCACGATATTGGAAAAAACTGACATTGCGATTTTCCCCCCCTGCGATATATATTGCGATATGAAAACATACAGGAATTGAAGAAAAGACCGTTTTTTCCCCCCGCAAACCATCTTTTCTTGAACTTTAATGCTATACCATTGGTATTTTTTTTAACTATATTTAACCGGATGAAGGATTTTAGTCACGGACGTCTGGATCTTAAGGTATCAGAGCAACAAGCTGAGCTAGCTCGGTTAGCAGCGCCGAACTGCCCTGGAGAAACACATGAAACTACTTTATTCAGTGTTTCTACCTTTAATCACCGGGTCCGTTTGCTTTGGAGATTTGATTGTGATTGGTGGTTTGCTGTCACTCACTCAAATACCCCTGACATGAGAGCCGCGCCAGTTTTCCTTTTGTAGCAAGCAGCAAAATAATTGTAACATGACGTGTTTGAGTTAATTTGCCTACTTAATATCGCAAGTCCACGCGATGTGAATTCATTCGCATATCGCGATTATCGTCACGACACGATATATCGTGCAGCCCTAGCATGGAGACATGTCCCAGTAGAGACACTACATACTGATATACACCTGAACATCAGCAGGAGAGGACTCTTTAAAGTAGAGACACTACATACTGATATACACCTGAACATCAGCAGGAGAGGACTCTTTAAAGTAGAGACACTACATACTGATATACACCTGAACATCAGCAGGAGAGGACTCTTTAAAGTAGAGACACTACATACTGATATACACCTGAACATCAGCAGGAGAGGACTCTTTAAAGTAGAGACACTACATACTGATATACACCTGAACATCAGCAGGAGAGGACTCTTTAAAGTAGAGACACTACATACTGATATACACCTGAACATCAGCAGGAGAGGACTTTTTAAAGTAGAGACATTACATACTGATATTTGAGCAGAATAGGGCCTATTTAAGCTATCAGAAAAATGCAGTGGAGTACAAAGTATGATATTGGCTCCTGAAATGAAGTAGAGTAGGACTACTTACTAATTCTTACTAATTTCAAAAGAAGTAAGTAGTACTTTGGCATTACTAGTCACAGGATTTCTAAGGATTAGTGGATTTGACTGAAATATTTGTGTTTCTGCAGCGTTATCGTGCATCAGCAGAAGAATGCAGTCGTGCAGAAGAAACTCTTTCAGTCTTAAGACCAAAGCATATCTGTGCATACAACTGTGACACCAGAGCAGCATGAATACCAGCTGATTCTTCATGGGAAATATATACAAAAATACATCCAATTAATTAGATCAGGTCTCCTAGATCTGTATTAATTTATTTGATTTTTGGCGACTTAAGGAACTCCCCAAAGTAATAGACGTACAACTCACACTCAGAGCAATATCATCATTCATCTGGAGAGTTATTTCTGTCCAGCTGATGAATGTTGGTCAGGTATTTACTCTCCTCTTAGCTCTGGTATGGTCTCAACTAGCTCCTGAGAAAAAAATACCCACTCCTGTTGGCAGTTTAGTGCAGAGCAGGAAGTGTACAGTTAATTTATCAGAACTTTATCGCTGCTAGAAATGAGATTGTTCTGCAACTGAACACCGACAGTAAATGTGCAAATAAACACAACAAAATCAGCTAAAGGAAGGTTTGTGAATTCAAAGCGGGTTAATCACTCTTAACTGAAACTGAGGACTATTACGATTCTAAACCTTATTTGGAAATAAAGTATTGATTCATAACATACCGTACGTCACTAGGACGAACCTGGATTAGAACTACAAAAATCTGCATGCCACATTTAATAAGAAAGCCACAAAATGCACGAAACACCTGTTTGGAAATTTGACTGTAGTCAGAGAGAAAGTACCGGAAATCCCATTTGTAAATGACTGGTATATAATACACTATAATATTTGTAATGGGAAGAATCCCTTTCTCCATGAGACATTAGGAAAATCAATTTAAGGCAACTTGGAAAAAGTGGAAGCAATATTTTGTACAGAGACGTCCCTCCTTTGTTTGATTTTGCTAAACTCCCTGCTGTGTTTCTTAAAAACAGATAACAGCTACTAGGTTTTTAATAACGATGATTTATCACCTTATAATGGAATTGTATATAGAGATATCGTTAAACTAAATGAGGCCGTCTAAATGTAATAACAAGCACATACTAAGTGAAATGTATTGTTCATATATGAGAGCAAATGTAACATCTCTGGCTCCTTGGTGGATCATCTGAGGATGTGAATTTGGGATACTGAGGGATATTTGTTCCACTTTTTTATGACACATGGGCTCAAAAAGGGAATAGATGAATTAAGAAAAGAGTTGGTAGATAACTTGAAAAGACGTCATAGCTGCTGATGGAGATAAGATGGAGGAGGTTCATCTTGCATGCTGCAGAGGAAACTCATGAGTGGCCTGGATGTCACTGAGTCTAGACATATCTACAGCAATATGTGAAAATAAACGTAATAATGTGATGATAATATTAAGCGCAGGTGAAGTAAAAAACAAATCCCAAGCTCAAAACTGTGCTCACATTTTAATCTAGTGTTTTGCATTTACCAAATGAAAACATATGTATAATATATCTCTCAAAGCCCAATAAATGTAACCAAAAAACTCAATTATACTGCTCTTAGTAAGCTTATTTAAATGAACACACTCGTTTTTTTGTTCAGAGGGGGAAGAAGTACTTTTAATTATTACTTACTTTTTTTAATCTATTTAAAGTACAAAAGTATAAGTATACAATTATATATCATGATCATTTTGCAGCTTGTAGAGGTGGGGTTATTTTGTGATTACTTTGCATATGGCATGGTTATGTAATAAATAATAATACAACATCATTTATTGGCTGATTTTTAGGTGGCAGAACCTGGAGATACTCAGAGTACAAATACGTTAAAATTGTACTTAAATACGGTTATTCAGCACATGTATTTTCTACTACTGGTTCACATAAGGATGTTAAAACATTTGCAAACTTTAAAAACCAAAAGCACAATGCAAAATAGTTAATTTCAGCATCATATATATATTTAAACAGTACTATAATGAAGTGATGCATTAGAGAGCTGACTTTTTAATTGCTTTATAGTGCTGTCTAATTTAAACCACAATGATATAGCATCATTTATTAGGTGATTCATATTTTTGTATTAATAATCTACAGCTGTCAAATAAATGTAGTAGAGGTAAAGTACAATATTGCATCTGGAATGTAGCTCAAGTAGAACCAGAAATAGCACAACATCGAAATGCCTTAAGCACAAATACCTCAAATGTGTACTTAAATACAACAATTGAGTAAATGCACATTCCTTCACTGGTTCACCTTATGAGGTGCATGTCACTTTAGGTAAGCTGGCTTCAAATTAAAGCTTCAAGGCATCTCTTTGAATACTTGATATTCCTGATTTTGTGTTAAAGTGCAGGAAAAACCCGGTTTCCTGGTGCAGGGAGTAGGCCAACAACAACAACAACAACTGCACTGTGGATTCATAAGCATTGCCTCATAGCATTTAAGCATCATACAAGCTTAATAACAAACAGAAAATGGTAAAATAAAATCTAAATAACATGGTGTGTACAGAGCTACCATAATAAAGGTGTTTACAAGCGTTCATGAAACAACCAAGCTAGCGAGTTAGCTCACATTCAGGCATTTCAACTGTTTTTTAAAAGCCTATTTTATAGTTCTTACCTTTTAAACTTGCTCCAAATGTTTATTTTAGTTTCCTAAAGCAGCCTTTGGAAGGTTTTAGTCGGCAGATTTCAGTCTCAACGAAGCAGACGAGTCATATGTTTCCCTTTCGACAGGATGGAAGTAACCGGAAGTGACACAAAGAAACTGGCGCAATGAACTATGGGATATGGAGTCCGGAGCTAACCTTTATATATACAGTCTATGGAGCTAACGCGTTTTAATTTGAACAAGGAAGTCATGGAGCGATGGATACATTCCGATACATTCACTGAAGGACTGTACTTTTTTAGGTTTAAGCAAATTAAATCTTTACAGGGAAGCAAAATAACCTGTTTTTATACCGTTGCCAACATTTTCATAAACAAACGTATTCCTCTTATTTATTTATAATATTGTACATTAAATTATTGATCAATTTTCACTATTGTTTATATTGTAAATACACTATTTTAAATATATTCTTGATGCTGTTATATATTGTAGAACAAGGCCCACATATTTAATTTTGACTATAACTTCTATAACTTTCCTATGTTTTAATGTTGTTTTTATCCTCAAATTAAAAAGCTGTAACACAATTAGCCCTATTTTTAAGGTCTTCAGTACCCAAACATATTTGTTTGTTTGTTAGCTAGAAAGCATTTAGTGTTTCTATCACAGGTGTAACATTTGAATCCACATGCCATATTGATATTAAAATGTGTCTCATTTATTTCAGGACTGAATTAAAAAAAAATCACACACAACTTAAATCATGATCAGCAGTGAGAGACATGAAGCTCATCCCTGGTTAGCAGGGTGACGGCGCCCTCTTGTGTTTCAGTTAAAACATTTCACTTGTTAACCTGCTTTGATGAATTAGAATGAAATTACACATGTAACAACAACAACAACAGCAACAACAATGTAAAACTAACTGAAAGTCCTGCGTTCAAACCATTGGCATTAAAATATATTCAAAGTACAAAAGTAGTCTAACTCCTTAAAACCACTTATTTGGAAAGGAGATTGCATCGAGAAAGTTTCCCTCTAACAGTTCACCTTTTACCCTTTAATTAACTTTAATACATTACCATGCCAATCATGTTCTATATAGAGACATTTAAAAACGACTTTCCCACCGTTCCTTTATCCCATTCTGGCTTTATCAGACAAACCAAATGACAGAGGGAAAGCGAAAAGCACATGGGAAATAGAGGAGTCTTTAATCTAATGTCAGCGTTAGATAACAGGTGTGTTATCTCTATTACATCTAAATGCAGCTAAACTGTACAAGAATCATCCTATTAAAATGTAAAGGCCATTAAAGTCGGGTTTTCTACATAAAGAATGGGGAAAAGAGTGTTAGCTATTACCCAATATAAAAGTAATTCATATAAGTGTTGACAGGAAACCTTGCTGCTGTATTTCCATTCTTATATAATTTGTATTTATTTTTATTTGTATATTAACATGACCTTCATATTTTCAAATGAGTGTCACATTTGTATTTAACTCATACATTTGGATTGAGAGTGGGAGAAAATGGGGCCGGTGCTTGCTGTACAACATGAGGTTATTTAAAAAAAATGATTTTTAATGTTAATTATATGTAATCTAATTTATATTTAATTAACTGTAATTGTAGGTTGTTGGTTAATCTGCTCACACGACACCTATTGCATATATATCCTCATTTGTTTCATGTCTAAGGTTTTAATGGGGCAGTTTATCCTTTGGATCATGGGTCAAAGAAAAAGGCTGTCAATAGCCGCGTTCACACCGGAGTACTTTCACCGTACTTTTCGCGTTTTAGTTCCGTGAGTCGCGTTCACACCAAAAATCGTACTTAATCTCGGGTACTTTTACCCCCATTTTTAGAGCCAGCTCAGAGAGCGTACTTTTCTGTGGGTGAAAAGTGCTCCAAAAGTGCCCCAGTGCTGATTGGCTGGGCGAATTGCAAACCACGCCCGTACAACTCTGAAAATGTTGTGTAGAGCCGCCATTGTTTTTCCTCGCTACAAAAACACAACGCTCCGTGCGTTGTGTTTGTTTTTGAAAGCAGTTATGGCAAGCATCAAGAAATGATGAGGAGGTGTCGGCGCTTCTGGAGATCTACGCAGAGGACGCGACCCAGGGAATGCACTGAAGCCAGTTCAGTAGCTTTCACTCGACCTGGGAATGTGCACAGCCCCACGGCACACCGGCTAAAAATAAAGAAACTCGGGCAGGACTACAAACGGCGGATTCAGTGGCCAACGATGACGACCACGACGAAGGTAAAATCAACTACATGCACTGGGGTTTTAATCTGCACAATAATGGTCTCAGATGTACTTTTATTTGCTCAGTAGATCAAGCTAGCCATGCTAGCCATAATAGGCTAACACCGGCCCCGAGCACACAGTACACACACACTGTAACTTTGTCTTGAAAGAACGTTACGCATCGAACTGATGTTCACAATCATGTTTATTTCATAATATTCATCATATTTTATGTTTAACTTGCCTCAACAACATTAAACAAAGTTCAAGCATACATGAAGCACTCTTCAAAAAGGAACAATCCTCCGTGTTTGAACCTCTTAAATCGCTGCATAGCCGATTTATTTGGACTGGATTATCCCAGAGGGTCTAAACATTCTTTATAACACAGTTTCAGATTTGTGAAACCTTAATTCTATTTGTGAAAATACAAAAAACACATTCCTAGTATGTTGTAAAACTACATGGCGACTAAACTTGTATATTGTATATTGCTTATTTTCCCCTCTTAGGAAAGCGGACACGGGATGCGAATTTCTTTGACACCGCCCAGGCGTTGGAGGACCGGCGTGCCGTGGTGAATGAGTCGCTGCGTGGAGATCAGATGGTGCTGTTCACCAAGGCCCAGGAAACGGAGGACAAGATGCTCACCTCGATGGAGCGCCAGGCAGAAGTGTTCAAGCAGCAGATGGAGCGCCAGCAGCACCAGGATGAAGTGTGGGCGCTGCGCCATGAGGAAGCGTCGGCGCAGCGGCAGGATGAGCGACAAACTGCATTTAATAACAGTTTATTTGGTATAGTTTTTGTAAATGTAAATACTGACACACGACACACAACGTTGCACTAAGGTGTGCATGCTGCTGAGAATATCCCTACACCTGGGACAGTTTATTTTATATTGTTATTTCTGTTATGACTTTATTTTATATATAATGTTTACTGACATGTACAACTGACACTTTATTTACATTTAAAATTGTTCTATTTAATGTTATGTCTTGAGAGTGCAATAAAGAAAACCGACATGGCGATTAAGCTTATTTCTCCTGACACTTTATCTTTTGTGACCTGTGTAGCATCCTATACATCACATGTAAGTGATTATTCTGATACCATCATGTTTCATCGGTTATAAACTGGCAAAGCTTTATTTGTCATTTATTTATCATCAATGTTGCAACCTTGTGGGGGAATGGCAGGGGCACATACACAAATATGATAATTTATATCATTTTAAATATTATTTGACCTAAACTTTTAATTCCCCCCCATTTCACACAACACAACATGGAGTCCACTATGGGCCAAAACTAACATGTATGTTTGCATAGTGTTTATGGCAGACGGATGCAGTGGGTCTCAGGAAGATATATAATAAAGGTGGGTTTGCTGCTGAGACTCCCTACAGCTGGGAGTTTATTTTATATTGTTATTACTGTTATTATATAGTACAACTGACACTTTATTTTATATTGACAATGTTTACTGACATGTACAACTGACACTTTAGTTACATTTAAAATATTTCTATTTAATGTTATGTCTTGAGAGTGCAATAAAGAAAACCGACATGGCGATTAAACAGATCCTGTATCAGTTTTTCTTCTTCTCTTGTTTTGTAGCGGGTTGCAAACAACTTTAAGGTGCTTACCGCCACCTACTGTACTTGTAATCTTCCCTCAGGGAAAAGTACTCCGGTGTGAACGCGATCTGTACTAAGTACCCTGGGGTTAAAAGCGCCAGGGCTCTTAGTGCCGGAACTAAGTACAGGAAAGTACTTGGTGTGAACGCGGCTAATGGTAATCATAATGTAAAGCCCAGGCTAATTTGCGATATTTGGCAATATAGATTAAACTGACTTGATTAGGTTTTACACGATCATCCACATCTGCAGAACTTAACAAAAAAGCAATCTGCATGAAGGTAATTGTTCCCCTTTTCCGCCACATGCATGCATGGGAATAATAAAAATGATTTTGTATATGGAAACCACTGCACTGATTCGATTACAGCTAGAACAAATACATTGCAGGTTTTCTGTGGAGGTGTTTAATAAGAGAGCAGGAGACCGGATGGAAATGAGCTTATAGCTAAATCTGGCATTACATCATCCCTTTTGAGACCAATGTATTTCTATGCATGGTCCTTGTTTGAGAACCCATAATAATAAAAAAAAAATAGAAGAGCAGCAGAGGCTCCTGAGCTGATTTCATATTCAAACATTTGTCTTCGGCTTACCTTTGTTAACTCGTATTTATAGAAGCCTGCGTCACACTGCTGTCACACACAGTAACACTGAGGAGCTGCACATTTACATCTCTGAGTACGGAGAGAGGGAAACACCTGCCAGGTTTGATTAAAGTCAGGTGAGCAGTTACAGCTGCAGAGGATGATTATTATTCTGTCAAACAGAGTTACACTTTGGGAATAGTGGACGTTTTTTATGTACCAAGTTCCTTTAGTCTGCAAAGGTATCTTAGTTCTGACTCAGAGGAGGAAGAAGTGCTCAGATCTTGTACTTAAGTAAAATCTATCTTTTGCAATATAGACACATGTGCAATATACCCTCGTGCAATTCACGCTTTATTTAAAAAAAAAATGTATTTACAATCTGCAAACAGTACCAGCTAGGTCTTTAATGTATATGGTCACTTTAAAAAAAATATACTGCTACTTAATTTTTATCATGGTGTACTTACCTGTTATTTGTTATTTTTACTTATTGTGATTTTCCTCATGAAATTACGTGTGCATACTTTGTTTTTTATTATGTAAGTCTATTCTCCTCACTTTATCTGCATTATTCCGCTGTTGTAATAAAGTTTCCTGTTGCAGGTCAAATAAAGGAATTCTGATTCTGAAAAGTAAAAGTACAAGAGTGTAGGAATATACTGTT